TAGACATATTTATGTGTTGCCGATTTTAGTAATTCTTCTTCCTACGCAGTTATTGTCTAACTAATAAACAGTCTACTTAGTTTACGAAGAAAAAACGGATATGCAGAACGAAGAAATTTTAAAGAAAATCTTCTTGAATGATTCATATAATGTTTTTATATGATAATTCTTCTCTTCTTTCTTTCTTTATGAATTAATAATAAATCATTAAAATCTTCATTTTTTTCTCTACCTATTATTATAGAGATTCATTTTTATTAATTATTTTTTGGTCAACAATTAATTAATTATTTTAATTTATCTTACCTATTAAAATTTTACTTCAGTACCTAGAAAGTGTTGATAATAATAAAGAAAACTATTATATAAAAAGAATGTTAATAATTATTATTATTCTTCAAATTGTTTTATCTTAGTTTCTTTTCCGGTTTTTTTCTTTCTTTTGATAGATGAATTCAATATACGAATATATTAGAAAAGAAAAAGATGAAGTAATTATTAATGACCGCAACAAACAAATCCTTAATAATGAACGCATGCTAGTCTGTCAAAGATAGGGAAGTTAAGAAGTCATGTACTTGTAACTATTCTATTCTGAACCCTTTATAGGAACACTAACAATGTCACTGATATTTGTTTTCTATGTCATGCATTGTGAAGAGGAAAAGCAGAAAATAATGACTCTTTTATTTTCTATTGATAAATAATGATGTTTATTAGAGCAAATAATGTCTTGATTTAATGATTTCATTTCTTCTTCTTTTTATTTGACATTATTTTTAAAATACTCCTACGAATAATTATTTTAATAATTATTGAGTTAGTAATGTGTTAATGATAGACTTATAGAAGTATTCTAGTACAAAAAACCGAGATAAACAATAATGTGATAACTATAAAAACAAGTTGCTAATAAAGTACAGCTGCTTTCAATATAATATTGATTAGAACAAAACCTTTGCAATATTCGAACTTTCTAGTAAGAATATACACACTTTAATTATCGATATACTCATATGAACTTTAAATAATCGAACGAAAAAAAAATATATCGGCTGTATTACGTGATTCAGTGAATGGTATCGATTTCTCAGAAAATATTTTTTTTCGTATTTCCATAGTTCTTTTAAAGGTTAAGGAAACATCTAAGCGACTTGGCAGTGTCAATTAGACTTCACATCAAATATGCTTTCAGATCTATATACAAGTGTTCGACAAAAACATATATTGAGAAACTGTCTGTCTAAACATCAAATACAATTTTTGAATTTTTTTCAACTAATTCAATTTAGACAGTATTATTAGACTTCAAATAGAAAGGCAAATTGATTCTCTAACAATGAACTACAAATATTCATGGAATACTTATTTTGAAAATGAGTAATTCAATGAAGAAAGCATCACTTCACTTAAAATGTAGTTTGCTAGCGAATCAAAACAATGTATATTAACAAAAATCTAATTATACTTACTCGATAGAGCTTTTACGACGTTGTTTAGCAAGACACTCTTTCTTTTTTTTTGCAATTGAATATTACTTCAAACAAAAAGTATAATATTACAAATAATATTCAACGTAGATCTTATTCATTAAATCTTATAATAGAACATATAAATTTTTTTATTAAAATTAATCAAAAATTGTGGACAGTTATATTATATATATCTTTAAATAAAAAAATTCAAATCGTATATTGTGTCTTTCACTTTGGACATTTTCAAGAAAAAAAGGAAAAAATGTTGCAAAATTTTTACAGTACTAAGTATACTTGTAATTTATTCAAATACTTCGATCATAATTTATGAAATCTATGACAAATTGTTAGGAAATTATTATTGACTCCAAAAGTAAAAGCATATACTCGACCTTTTCTTTTTTTCTTATATGCGCGCATTTATAGAAAAGAAAAACCCTGAGGAAAATCGACTATAGTTATTTTTATGCTCTCCAGGCACTAGACAATTTTCATTCAAAGCTTTTTGTCGTACGTTTTATTAAAAAAAAAGGATTAAAATATACGAACAAATCTGAAGTCTTTTATATTGTTTATTGACAATAGCTTTATATGAAAAATGGTTGTTTTCAATAGTGAAACTTTAATTAATTATAAAATAATGATGAATCAAATAGAACACATAGGTAAATATTTAATAAATTCTTCTTCTATTTATCGTTTTTCATACTGTAAAATAATATGACATTAAACGAACTTATAAATTTTATATTACTTTTAGCATAATAAATATTTTTATGCATATTAATATTTAATTACGAAATATACTTTATCTAGGTCAAAAGGTTTCCTTATAATTTTTATTAAAAAGACACGTTTCTTTTTTTTTTTTCTAAATTAATTATCAATATATCTTAAATCAGTGTTAAGTATTCATTACGATAGAAATATCTCTTTTTTTTTCTTGGTGTTTTAGACTCTAATTTATTTTCTATGCTTTGCCTACGTAGATAGACCGCATGTCGCGTTTATTTCATTTATGTAACTGTTGTTCATCCATTAGTTATTTATTGCTTAATGGAATACATTTAGTTCTTCAATATGGAGTAGGTGTACATCCGTTCTTCATATAAGATAAAAAGACACATGAATAGTAATTTTAGTTTCTATTTTTTTCTTAGTTTTAAATAGAAAAAAACAAAAATTTCAAATCAAATTTTAATTACCGTAGTGTAATCATAGTTGTCGTTGATATTTTAGACAATATCCTTATATCATAACATCATCATTGTTCTATTAGGAAATATTAATAGTGTGACCTTCATCATCATCATCTTTCGGATGCTGATCTTTTCTTTTTTTTTTTCTATCAGAATCGTCTTTCTATATTTCTTTTTTTTTGCACTCGAATCGAGAAAAAGTCCAACGAGTGCATTTATCAATATGATTCTCAATAAACAAAAAAGAATCAACACAGACAAGTTGCAAATCTCAAGATAAAATTTAACTGTGAAACTATTATTTAAATGATAAACTTTAAATCTAGACTTTTTTTTTGAATGTATATTCTAAAGATCATCATGGTTTTTCTTGTTAAGTAATTAACTGTTCTTGTTAAACCATAAAAACAATTGGCTTTATCAAAATTGTTTTATACGTCAAAATGATGAAATAGGAATTCATATACACACATGTCTGAACATTTCTGCTTGATTAAATAAATACTTGACTAATAGTCATAGATATACCAATCTTAACGATTCATTTGAATCAATAATGATTCAATCGATTGAATAGCTATTAGAACTATTCGTTGGATATAAAGATAATTCTTTTCATTGGTATAATGAAAGCGAAAACAGTATCGCAAAAATATTCAAATAAAAAAAAAAAACTTATGATGGAATATGAGAAATAATTCACGAAAGAAATAAATAATTTTCTTAAAAAATAATAATAATCATTATTATTTAACAATAAATATAGACTTGTGCGTGTATATATATATATATATATTTGCTACATATGATGAAGGTTATAAGTGGAAACTTCAGAAAAAAATTGTTATTTTAATGATACTCTTAATTCAATCTCGGAAATGGCGTTATTAGAAAAAGAAAAATTCACGTTATACACTATTATTTTGTTTTTTCTTTTTAATATTTCCAACTTCAATAGAATTTGTAATTTAAAAATAGTCATGATATGTGATAATTTTAACTCAACGATATAGTATAAATCTAAGAAATTCAAAGTATGAATATTATTGTATATTATAATTTTATTCTTTAATGTCAGAAGTCATAAGAAAATCAAATATTATCCATTTCTTTATGTTCATTCTCAAAAAAATAAAATCATTCATAGAAAGCAATCTTGCTTTATAAACTATAAATAGACATAAATAAGATCAAACACTATCTGATAATCTTATTATGACATATTTTATTTTTATATTTAATAAGTCAACGATTGATCATATAGACATTGATAGAGTAAAAAAATATGTTAACTAGCATATTAATGATCTAATTACAAATTCACGTCAAAATGATTATCATCCGAAAAAGAATCAATATGACTCATGAAATAAACAAAAACATCTTTACCTCGTCGAGAAAGATATTGCAAATGATTGTATTCAAATTCCAGAGAAGAATAAAAGACTTGAGTGGAAAGAATTATATGATTGTATAATAAGCTACCCAACGAACGACAACTTCAATACAAAAACAGACACTAAGTGTTTTTTCTGCTATAGAAGCAATCAAAAAAAACAAATCATCTTTCTTGATTTGGTATTTAGCAGTTTCCTTCTAGCACATGTGTGGATTGGGTGTTATTTTGGACGAAAAAGAGTTGGACCGTTCTAATCGAACAAAATGAATGTATTAGTAAATCTTTCGTATTAAATCTATTCTTTTTATGACTTAATAAATTAATTTCATAATAATAATTCGAAATGACTTTCTTAAGCTCAATGCTTCAACATTGACAAATATAACAATGTGTGTAAAACTAATCCATACGAAAAAAAAACAGAGTCCTTCGTTTATTATTAAACTGACAACATGATCAATGACTCAAATTGAAAAACCAAAAAAACCCACATCGTTTTAGCGGTTAATGTCTTATAAATGATTCTAGTAGAATATATGATTGGCTTCGTCATGTTTTTATCATTATCAATATTCTAATAAGAAAAACATTTGTCAAAATATGAAACATTACAAATGACTCAAGATTATATAAGAAAAATTTTTATCAATTTTATATCTTAATAAAATTTTTTGATTAATAAAAAGAAATTATTTTTCAATGATTTCATTAATTTATATATTGATCATAATTATTTTAATTATATTTCATAATAGAAAAAAAAAAACAACGATATTATTTAATTTTTTGAACAGAAGAATATTAATCGATTCTAAAATGAAAAATCCTGAGACATTGACAAGCAAATACACACACAAAAAAAAAGAAGTGTTCAAAGAAAATTAAAAAAAAAAGAAAAAACTTTTGATAAAAGCCAATATAAATAATCTAATCTTTACGATTAGAACGATGACGACGATGTGTTTGAGCACTACCGGGTGGTATATTATTTGTATTTGATTCTTTTAAATGATGTTCGATATTTGAACGAGCTTTTTGAAGAACATCTAATGTTGGCTGGACTAAAATAGAAGAAAAACAAACACCAGTTCGAAATAAATACACTTATTTATCATAATCTAATATCATATTTGTCTTAGATTCTTGTTTTTTTGATTAATATTCTACTACAAGAGTACAATATAAAATTGTATTCTTTCTATATTCGGAACAAAAAAACATGTTTTATTGTAATTCGGAGAAGCTTAACATCTTATCTGTCTATATGTCAGATAGTGAAAGTTGTTGACAACTTATATATCATGATTATCTTGGACACTATACCACCTACGTGTTGACAGATATTTTCATGTTTCAGTTTAAAAACAAAAGCATTAAGAGTATCATCTCACTTTCGACAAAACCTATTTTTGTTCAAAACAAAAAAGAAATTACTTTTTGAGATAAACATATAAGTATAATATCTAAGTCCTGTATGGTTATATTCTCCAGCAAATCTAGGCAACAACTAAAAAAAAAACAATTCAGTAAATCTATGTTCTATGAATGTTGTGTTTTGCAAGCAGCATAGTCGTAAGAATTTTGATTAATTTTTGTCATGAAAATATGACATCGATATATTTCATGTCGATATCCAATTATAAGTATAAAATGTAGAAGAAAAACATGATTTTTGTGTCAACAACGACCTTCCACTCAAGGTCTTTTCTAATATATTGTGTTCTAGACAACTATGCGCTTTTTATCTAATGTATTATAGTATGTAATGCTCTTTTGGATGATTCGAAAAAGGGACTGTTCAATAAGTCTATAGTTGTACAGGAAAGATTATATATCTCAGACACTTTTGATGATGATTCCAGATTTTTAACGTTTCGATAATTCTCAAAATTAAAGACAGTAACAATAAAAAAAAGGTTCTCCCTTGACCTGAAAAGTTAATTAATTCTCTTTCAAATGAAACAATTTCCGACTGTATACTTTTGAGTATAGTGAAAAAGAACTTTTACAAGTCATGGATACATTGTAGATCGTGATCTCAAGAATACTTTTGAGCACTGATATTCACGATTGTAAAAAGAAAATATATTTTCAATTTCACTTTTATGTGCCTAATATTTGTGAAAGGTGTCATAGGAATTCCCTAAACCGTATCCAAAAATTGATTTCTGATGGGAGACAGTCTTCATCAAACTCTCGATTAGAATTACAATTGATATGTTATATTTATCGTTTACAACAAGACCATAATAGCTTTTTATTCTTCTCACACTTAACTATCAACAATGATGTAATCTAACCACATAATAATAGGTCATTAACGTGCATATTACTTTTTAGGCTATCAAGTAAAATTTGCTAAAAATAGTCTAATGTCAAAAAGTTCATGTATCATTTTATAGTAAAAATACTCATTTTCTTATGTAAAAAAAAATAAAAGAAGTTTAATTCAATACATAATAATTATCAAAATATTAAAGAAAAAAAAAGTGTAATAAATTCATTATAATCAATAAGCTAAAGAATATACAACCACACACACACAAACATAATAATAAAGTAGTTAGAAGCAAATAAGAATAATTCATAAATACTACGATAAACTACACAAATACATTGAATAAACTAATATAAGTGAATTTAATTATTTGTTTAGTGAATAATTTTGATATTTGTTTACAAACCAAACAAACAAAAACTTACGTAACAATGCCAAATATTCGCCTGTATCAGCTTTTTTGCGATTCACTTTCTGCAATAATTGATATTAAATAAGAAAAACGGATATATTGATTATTCTCCTCATATATATATATATATATGTAAGAAAATTAAAAACAGAAAAACACGAGGAAAAATAAAACGAAACTATGCTTTTTTTCTGGTTCCAATAACTTACTGTTAATTGAGCAAGTAATTGTTCTAAATAATTTGATTGTTCTCGATATTTTTGTTTTAAAAATCGAAGATCTTGAATATATTTTCTTTGATTAAATAAAAGACGTTTATTCTAAAAAGAATAATAAATAATATAGATATGAATTTCAAAACAAAATTTAAATGAAATAAATTACTTCTTCTATGAGACGATGATCAATAAATATATGTTCATTATATTTATTTTTTTCTGGTAAATCAGCTTTCCAATATGTTTCAATTAAATCAAGAGCATGTGTTAAGCGTCCATCAAGTTGATTTAAACGTTCTTCGAGGGATCGTGTTGATGAATTCTGGTAGAAAATTTAAAAGAAAAATATTTAAAATATAATAAAATGATTTATATTCTTCTTATATCAGTATTCTTATACATGACATAAATATTTCTTGAATTTTAAATTGTCTTCACTTCAATAATTATGAATAAATAATGTAAATAAAGAAAATAATAAATGTATAGTTTACATTGACATAAACTTGCGATTATATGAATATCGGATCGGGTATGCATATTTATTAAAACGTCGTGCTCAGAAAAATGGCGTAGTACCGAACAGGACAGCGTCATATTTAGAAAGAAGATATGGTGCTGAGAACTACGGCATGGACTAATTATTCATAGAAATAAGACTTTTTTTAATGAGGCTAACTTGAGCCGAAATTCCAACTCCCATAAAAGCGTCGATGTCTTCTAAAACTTTGATTTCAATCTAATCGTATTTTAATATGAGATTATAACTCATGAATGAAATGAAACAAATTCTTTGTCAGTGAAGAAAATAGAAAAGATGAAAATTAATACCAATTTAAAATTCCATTAAGAAGATACCCTCTCCTTTCAGAATGTTAAAATCAAAATTTTTCCAATTTTTGATATAGCTTCGAACTATCCTCTATCAAATGCTAAATGAGGATTCTTCATTGTTAGTTAGTACTTTTATTAAACTCAACTCTCGAAAACCGAAGCAGAAAAACTTCCGTTGCCATTTTTTTTTGTATGGAAAATTCTCCTAATGATAATTTCTAAAAGGGCTGAAAGCATGGGTCATAGATCTCTAACATCCAGACATTTGACCAGTACCAGTATAGTAAGTACTAGTACAAGTACTGTGTACTTAAAAATTGTACTTTGTACTTTTACTGAAGTACAATGTACTTCAGTAAAAGTACAAGTCTCGCTTCGCTGCGTATTTTTCTACCGACAAAAATTACTTTCGAACTCTAATGACATCTGTATTAAAAAGAAGATGAAAGTTTACATGCGTATTATTAGACTTTTATATCTTTTGGTATCAAAATCAATATAATTTCTAGTTTTGTAACCTGTAATTAATAATGGTAAATTGGTAAAGCAGATATCAGAAACATATCTACAATCTGTTTGGTTACAATGGGTGTGGGTATGGGTGCGTGTATTGTCTTCACACACAGTACATCCACACCCAAAACACATGTGCACTGCACATTTGAGCATCAAAGAGATTGTGCTGACAACTTTTTGTTTAGGTTGAGCTTAGTTTAAGCTTACTAAAATGTAAAGTAGATAGCTCTAAAAAGTAAAGATGCTATATATAGAAGTCTTTGTGGATCCGAGTTTAGATATTTTTTTCTCAAGTCTTTTTCAGTTCTAGCCAGTACGATTAGAACTGGGAAAATGTTCCAAACATTTCGGCTGAATTTTTCTTCAGTTTTAATACGAATTCCTGCCATTAAGAATGGTTCACGAAGCAATGGAAAAAAACCATTCCTATAACACCTCTTCTTTTTACAGAGAAGAAACCCTTATAATCTTATGAAACGAAAAGTAATCAAAATGAAAAACCCACCAAGTAATGTTCTCGAAAAGGGTAGACAGAGAGTATCAGTACTAAGTACAATTGTACTGTAGTACGGTGTAATTGGTACATGGTACTTAAGTACAAGTACAAAGTACAATTTTTAAGTAAAAAGTACATGTACTTTTACTTCAAAAAATGTACCAGTACTTAAGATTTTCACGTACTAAGTACGAAAAGTACTAAGTATTGTACTAAGTATCCAATGTCTGCTAACATTGCTGAACACATGTCCGATTTTCGATCATTTTAGTTAGGTTTTTGTTTCTCTCGAAATCACTGTTTACACAAAAAAAATCAATGCCCACATTCTTTGTGTTTTGAAAAATATTGCACCATTGATTTCCAACAGAGTTTACTAAAACACGTATATTTGGAGGTACGCTTAGTATTTTGATCTTTTTATTCGAATGGAAGGAGATAAAAAGAAATCAAAAAAAGTCGAAACTCCAAACAGTATCTAATATCTGTAAAAAGAAATTCTAGCTCTATCAGACTTATTGTAGTTGAGAAAGCGGAGTGATTAGGGAAACGGTTATTACTCTTTTCGACTCAGATATTTCCTGGAAAGAAGTAAAACAAACAAAACTTTTCCTCTCGAAAACTTAAATCATGTTGACAAGTTGTTAGCCCACGAATAGATCTAATCCGCTAAATGCCATATTCTATTAACACACTATCCCTTTATTTTCTTCATGCATTTGATCTATACTAGGCATGCGCAGAATCCGAGTTTTGACTTGCTTTTTGGGTTTGGAAACTAGTCAACCAATTCAAACAATGTCAGGCAATTGTCTAAAAATTTCTTGAAGTATATGGACAATTATGGAACCGTTCTAAGATTCGATTAAGTCCGGGTTGGAGTATTTCTGAATATTGTTGACTTTTTTAGGATGTCTGCAGACTTTTGGCTTTTGTACCATTTATTCCACTCTGTGTATAGGTCTACCATCTTCAAACATGAATTCCTTTCTTTAGACTTCTACTTCCTTTCACTTATTAACTGAAAATAACTGCATCCAAGACCGAACTTGAACGTCCGGGTTCGGTATGTACCTCATCTATGCTATGTGTACAGGAATTCAGTTCGATAATTTTCGTTGAGTTACAAAATTTATTAGAGAAACTACCATGATTATTTTGAATTCTTGGAATTATCTCTCAAAAATAAGTCATACAATTTCATCGTATCCAAAGGAAACTTGAATATTTACTCTAATTCTATATGAGATGAAGAAATAAATATTGATATTTACAGAAAAATTACATTATTCTTTTTTTTTGTTTTAAATCATAATCATATTATTTTTTTTTACTCTTATGAAAAATTGTTCTCGTTTTTCTATTTTTTTTTGTATTCAAAATACGTACAGTTCTTGAACGAAGTTGATCTTTTAATTCAGGTAAGACTGCTTTTAAGTCAAATTTAATATCTTGTATTAACCGACGAAGATCATCATGAGTTTTTAATTCACCAACAATATATGATCGTATAGGAACTTAAATCAAAACAAAATAATTCTATATGAAGTTTTCTAAACAGGAAAAAAAACACCCATTTGACATACTTCTTGGTACAAGTTCTTCAGCAGATTGTTGAGAATATTCAATATGTTCAAGTTCAATTGTAGATGAACCTACAGGTCTTGAAAGTTGCTCATCAATTACAAATGATGATGATAAATTCTCAGCACCAACTGAACTAGATGTACCAATTACACGAAGATCAGGATATGAAACTCCATGACCAGAAAATTTAAATTCACGTGGTGATTGTGATTGACGAATATTTTCATCTAATTTTGCTTGTAATTGTTTTTGTTTTTCTATACTTCGTTCAAGATCACGACGAAGAAGACGCATTTCTTCTAATAATTGTGATAATTCACTTTTTCGAATTGCAATTTCACTTGTATCTGAATCTAAAATAATCAAGATAATATTATTTGATAAGAATATCATAAAAAAAGATTCGTACCAGTAATAAAAGTCTTTCGTTCTAATATACTAATTTGTGTTTTATAATGTTCGATGACAGATTCATTACGTTCGATTTCATCTTGTAAACGTTTTATTTCATCTTTCGAACGTTTTATTTCATCGTTTGACCGTTTTATTTCATTATGTAATCTTAAAAAAAACGAGATTCGTTAATTTTTTTTTTCTAGATTTTAAAGAAAAATTATATTTATTTTACTGTTGATTTTTTTCTTCGGCTTGATCAAATCGAATTTTGTAAGTTTTAAGAGAATCGATTTGTAAACGTGCTTGTTGTAATTCATTTTCAATTTTACGTGATTCAACAGTCAAATCTTGACGAATTCGATCGGATTCAGTATGATAACGATGTTCAGCATCTCCATTGACTTTTTCCATTCTAAAATATTTTTATTTTAATATATTCAAGATAACTATAAAAGAAAAAACAATTTGCTATCGTTCACTAGACATTATACAATGTAAATCAGAGGGGTTAAGTTTTATTTTTAACTAAGAATCGAAGGGGTTGTCTGATCAAATACTAAATACAGGGTGGCGCAAAAGTCACGTTACCGAACAACAAAAAATTGAATATCTCCATTACGGCTCGACTAAACGGGCTCATTTTTTTATCAAGGATAGAGGCATATTCACGCTCCAAATCCATACGGACAACGTTAGTGAGAACTTTTGGTAAATATCGGTATTGACATGAACAAGAAAATTTTACTTGTTCACACATAAGAAATGAAACAATATACTTACAAAGGTTTTCACTAATCTCGTCCGTATAGATTTGGAGTGTGAATATGTTTCTATCTTTAGTAAAAAAAATCAGCTCGTTTGCTCGAGCCGTAATGGAGATATTCAATCTTCTTTTTTGATAAAGTGACTTTTGCACCAGCTTGTATATTGTTTTCTCCCTACTTGTGAAGAAGTAAAATTTTGTTGTTGAGATCAATAGTGATATTTAACAAAGGTTCTCACTAACCTTGTCCGTATGGATTTGGAGCGTGAATATGCCTCTATCCTTGATAAAAAAATGAGCCCGTTTAGTCGAGCCGTAATGGAGATATTCAATTTTTTGTTGTTGGGTAACGTGACTTTTGCGCCACCCTGTATATTCAGATGAACTCGATGACAAATATACAAATACATATGCAATAGCCTATAGTAAAAAAGTCTTTGCACAAAATATTCGCTCATTTTTCGGCCAATTAAAGACAACTGATTTCAGCTAGAAGCAGTTAGTTAGAATCAGACATTTTTGTCTTTTCAAATATTTGTCCAGAGTTTCTTTCTTGGGTAAGATTAGACAACTATCATCAGATTGTTTTAAAGGGTTCAAAATAGTACTTGTACAGCATACAATGGGGTATTTGATTTCAATCTGTATTTAGACAAAAAAAGCACTTAATTTCAAATAGAAATAGGGAACTAGGGGAACTTAAGAATATTCATTCATATATATATATATGTATATATCCCTCTTTTCGGAGGGCGGGACTAGGGAGACTTAAGAATTATAAATTAAATATATATATAAATGTATATAATTCTGAAGTCCCAAAGTCTCTCTAGTTCTACCCTCTTAAAAGAGGGGTATATATATATGTCTATATATAAATATAGAATTCTTAAGTCCTTCAAGTTCCACTTTTCCAAAAAAGAAGGTTTATACATATGTGTATGTGGATGAATAATTTCGATAACCTAGTAAGCGTACCATCGAGAAAAGAGAGGATATGAAGCATGTGTAGTAATGAATTATTTGAAGCACGCTATTAGAGAAATAAGCTTGTCATTGACTTAGGATTGATGGGATGTTTGTGGTATGTTCCTTGTATAATATGTCCGTCTGCCTAAGATTTCGTCAATAGAGAGGTGTTCTTTTTAGTCCCCTAGGACTCCCATTGTTTCGAAAAAATAGGCATATTTTTTTTTCCAAAATTCAGTTTGAAATTAAAAAGCCCATAGACTCTGAAATATAGTTGTCGTGTAGTTCAGAAGACCCCCTCTCCATCGTAATGAATAGATTGAGAGTCTTGTTAGATCTTCACTTTTGTTGACAGGAAGGTATCGTTTTTTTTTTTCTGAAATTTAGTTTTAAATAAAAAAACCGTAGACTCAATGTTATTTATGTATGTTTTATATTATCGATTTTGTTTTCTTCTCTCTTATGACTCATTATTCAAAGTCAAAATAAAAATCAGTCTATTAATGTATTCTAGTTGAGAAGTTGTTGTATGAAGTTGATTATTTTATATGAGATGGACTATAAGTATCTTTACGATAAAAAATTTGCATATCTTCATTCTACTCAAAGGTATTGGTCTGATTTTGTTATTAATAATAGCGAAGTGTTCAAAGTTATTTTTCTTCATAAGAGAACTGTTAATAACATTTACATTGACTGAAGTAGAGATATTCCAATTTTTTTTTATAAAGATATTTATGATCGATCCTGTATGTAGAAAATTTTAGTTTATATGCTAATATTCTTTCGAGAATCAAAAATAGAACCAACTTTCATAGAATCCATAAAGAATCTGCTTTGTTTTAATGCTCAAATTAAGAATGATTGGTCTTAAATGTTGTTTTTTTCTATTGATCATTGATTACAGCTCTGAAGAATAACTTGATTTTTTATAATACAAGAATATTTTTTCTTTTAAATCAGATTGTATAATGAAAAGAAATGAATTCAAATATCGAACTATTGAATTATTTTATATCATTAACAATTTGACTTACTGAGTAAGTTTAATCGTGAGTTGTTGAATTTGATCACCTTTTCTATTGATATCATTATTTAATGTTCGAATCTGTTCATCTTTTTCATTTATTTGTCGTTGCAATTCATTTGTATCCGATGCACTACTTAATGCACTATCTCTTTTGCTCACTGATGTTTCTAAATATGAATACAAAATAAACTTAAATTTAAATATCAAAAATTAGAAAAAAAAAAACTTTTTTTTTGTTGTTGCATATTTCAAGTGTATAAGTGATCGTTAGGAAAAATAGTAATAATAGAAAAAAAGAATCGAATAATTTCTTGTTGTTTCTCTGGCGTCTTTTTTTTGTCAGCAAAAAAGAATTTAGAGCAGAAAATAGCAATCTATGTTAAAAGAAGTGATTTGTGTGAAAAAAAAAGAAAGAGTAATCAAGAATAGAAAAGTGCTTGATAATCATTGTGAAAGTACGATACATGATCGTTTATTTTTCTCTTTCTCTGTCTGTCTAGAAAATTGATGATAATATAATAATATGATATTAAAAAAAAAGAAATAATTTATTTAAATAAACATACTTTTTTTCGTATCATTTCCTTGTAATACATCAATATCTAAATCAATAATATATTCATCAAGTGGATTAATAATATGTTCTTTTCTTTCATCAAATATCGGTAAATGATTATCATATTTCTATAACGTAAAAAAAAGAAGAACAAAAATAATATAACAATTTAAAGATTAATAATAGATTAAAATCAAACTTTGAAGAATTGTTCGTATTTATTTAATTTCTTTTTTGTTTGTTCAATACAAGTTTGTTGTTCTTTTAAAATTTTTTCATAGTTTTGTTGTGTTTTTCTATTATGTTCAATAGTTTTATAGAGTTTTTTAAGTTCAGTTTTAAGTAAATTTGATTCATCTTTGTACGTTTCAATAACAAGATTTAAATTCTAAAAAGAAGAAGAAGAAGAATTTTATTTATCTATTTAAGGTACTGGCAATTCGAAATTTGAATAAAATTTGTCTTTTTTGACATGGTTGGATAAAGTTCTTCGTGTTACGTGTAAAAATATTGTTCTAGAAGTATTTGAATAATATTTTTTTAGTGAAACTTTAAAAAAATTAGGTTAAAGCAAAAATAAGAAAAGCCTATAAAAATTTTTGCTCAAATTTAGAATTGCCGATAACATTAAAAATTCAAATCTTTACTTGTATTTGTTGTTGAAGTTTGTCTATTGTTGGTGATTTAATTATATCAGGTGTATTAATTCGAACACGCATTTGTAATTGTTGGATAAATTTACGTTGATTACGAATTATTTCTCTAAGTTCATTGATATTTTCGATTTCTGTAAGATCATCATTGATTTTAGTTGATTCATTTCGACCAATTATAGCTGAATCATCAGCACTATGTCGACGTTGTCGAACAGATGATTCAATTAAACCTAAATAATGTAAACATGTTTTAGTTAGAGTTTTCTATACCAGAAAACATGTGAACTATGATTTTTCTAATGATGAATCTTTGAAAAAAAGATCATTTTTGACTTGTAGAAAAATGTTTAACTTCTTCTAATACTGAAACTTGTCAAAGAGGAGACATCAATCTTACATAAATCGTTACTTCTATCAATACAACAGAGCTTAAGATTGCCTCAGAAAATTGGACAATATGTTATTATCATTCGATGCAGAATGAACTGAGAAATAACACAAGGTCATATCTATAGTTTCGTGTTTATTGAAGAATTTAACAGTTCTTTAGATTTTTTTTTTCGGTTTTACTAATATTGAATAAAACATTTGTTGATAATCAGTAAATATTTATCGTTATGTACTTGACATACACTTTTTATTAATAATTATTTGTATATCTATAAGAACAAATGAATCTAATTTTTAATCAAAAAATAATAGAAATACTTTTTTAAGCGATTTGGAATATAATTTATGGCGTTTTTTTTCGTTTGTTAAGTTTTAAATGAGAGTAAATAATGTTTGATTTCTGCATTTATAAAAATGAGTTTTAATATATTTACACTACAATGTTTTCTATAATGGATTCAAGTTTGAACAAAATGTGCGTATATGTAATGAATCTAATTTCAACTCATTGGTGAATAAATCTATTGTTCTAATGTGGTTTAATATTATCTATAGAGCCTCTGACTCGAGTTAGATATTCGTAAAAACGAACGAGGGAAGTCTACCAACTGATTAATTCTTTTTGAGCCGGATACATATGCATCATTTAGACCCTGATGAGTTATGAATATTCTGAACAGAGTTCGAATCCTTAGCTTATTTCTGCCGACATATTACATTTTTACGTTATTTTTCAACACAATGCCGTTGTCCTCCTCAGGAAAATTAATTTTTGAATTTGAACTTGAAACTTTATATAGAGACAGACCTTAACGAGAATAGTTAATCGTGAAAGCATCAGATCATTTAATCTGTTCATGTTCTGACATAAGAGCATCAAATCTGCGAATATATATGAGCAATGTAAAATACGCGCTCTTATCATAGCTATATCTTGAGATAGAAACAACAAAAATATCTGAAATTTTCTCAATAAACTATTCTTGTTAAGACTTGTTTCTATGCAAAATTTCTAGTTGAAATTCGAAAATCAATTTTCATGAGGAAGAATCACGATATATTAATTCACATTAGGATCTAAATGATGGATATAGTCCCAATTTGAAAATAATTAATCACTTAAAAGACTTCTCTCGTAAGTTAATTCTGAAATGTTAGAAAGATCTTTGGTTTTTTTTTTGAAGAAATACGAACCAGCTTCATATAATATCTTTTGATATTTAGTCAATTCTCGATGATAATTTCTCGATTGATTTTCACTTCGACCAAGTTGTTCTGTAAGACGTGCTAATTTTGTTTGCCATTCAATATTTGAACGTTCTAATAATGCTATAGTTGATTTAATATTTTTTGTTGGTAATTCAATATTTGTCGATGACATATCATTATGTAATGAACAAAGATATTGTTCTAATTTTTATAGACAGAGAAAGAGAAGTCAAAATATGTAAACAATCACATCAATCAATAGTAAAAGAAAAAAAATCGAAGACACATCATAAAGAATAAATATCAGCAGTGCAAAAAGTATTAGAATATTGAAAAAGCAATAAATGAGGATAATATACAACAACAAATACTAAGCAAAGACCTGATGATGATCTCGAATGAGCATTGAGCTTAGCTGAGCGAACATCATTCGTACGATTTTGTTGTGATTTTAATTTTGCAAGTTCATCCTGATAATTAACTAATTCAAGAGCTAATTCAGCTCGTGTATTTGAACCATGAATATCAATTAATGCATTAAGTTTACGCCATAAAACTTGATTAACATATTTTTGACGTGAAAGTTCATGTCGTGTTTCGACTAATTGTGTGTGTAATTCAGTTATGGAAGGATTTTTTTCTGTATAGATTTAAGTATGTTTATTTACAAAATTTTAATAAAAAACAAAGAAGATTTTCTTTGTTTTTCGTTTTCTTTTTTCTTTTTTCTTTTTTCTTCTTCTTTATTAAAAACTTACGTTTCAATTGTTCATTTAATTCTTCGTTATATTGTAAAGCTCTTTCTAGTTCATATAAAAGTTCTTCACGATTTAAATGATCAAAATTGGCATGTACTAGAATAAAATTTATATAATTGAGAAATTAAATGCTTAGAAAAAAAACAAATCGATTAGTTTGTATGAATGATTGTTTCTTCAATCAGAAAAAGAAAAATCATATCATTAAAATCTTTACATATTTTTCAATTCATTGAGTTTTTCCGCCGGAATCAGCTTGTGTATGCTTTCACTCGAAATCACAATTGACTTTTATGCTATAGACTAAAATAGTTTCTTCATTATGTAATTATACTTCGATTCTAATGCTAAGGAGTTGAATACGGTAAAATTTTCTACTATTGAACACCTTATGGCGGTACTAATCGTCACTTATGCTCTCTCTCTTTCTTCTTCTTACATATACATTTATTTTATATGCGTGATTTTTTTTTTGTTTTCTATATTCTTTGTCGTACTTATTTGCTTTCTGTATTTTTCGGTAAGACGACTAAACAAGAGAAATTCTCCAACTGATTATTTCCTGTTGAGTCGAATTATGTGCATCATGGAGACCCTAATAAATTATGAATATCCTCAAAAAAATGTCGAGTCCTTACTTTATTGCTGTGAAAATATTGCATTTTTTTAGATAATGCCGCTGTCCTCATCAGGACAATTCGAAAATCAGTTTTCTCTGATGCTACTGAGGAGAACTATGGTATTGACTTAAAAAATACCGTAGAAATGCAATATCTCTGCAGTAATAAGCTAAGAACTCGAGTTTTTCTCAGAGTATTAATTTCTTATTATGATCTTCATGATGCACGCAATTATTCAGTTGGGAAACTTCCCTCGTAAGTATACAATGTATAAACAGACTATTGTAAGTATCTAAAAAAAAAAGTAATAATTATCAGTTGACACGAAACTAAAATTGGTAGGACAGAATTAATATTGTTAATTTTATCTGTTACCTCGAGCTCTTGTTACTGGAATAAAAACTGAAGTTGTTGATGAACTAGCCTACAAAAAAAAAAATTTCAAATCACAGTGTAATGATACATATTGTAGAAACACATACTGGTTGAGTTGTACTTCGTAGAGCTTCTGCTAGCTTACTTCTAAGTTCAATAATTTCCTAAAAATATAATTTTTAGAAAAACGAAAAGATTTTTTTTGTCTATAAAATATATTTGTTGTTTTACTTGATCTTTCTTTTGTATTTCGATTTGTAATGCTGGATTTGTCGATACACGTTCACTTGATGAACGTGTTGAATCAAGATTTGGTTCAATATTAATAAGTTTCGAATGTAATTCAGTGATTTTTTTTTCATTATTTATATTAATTTCATGTAATCTCTAAAGAGAAAAGAGTTTTTTTGCTTTTTTTGTCTTTTATATAATTTACATTGATCTCTTGGTCTTTATCAGATAATTTTTGACGTATTGTTGCAATTAATTGATCACGATTTTCTATATCGGAGGTATGTTGTTTTGCCATTCTCTAAAGAATAAAAAAGTGCATAAAAAGAAGAAGAAGAAGAAAAGTCCATGGTTATTTTTATTCACCTCGTTGCGTACAGTTACCTGATTACAATCACTTTGAAGTTTATCATGAGCTTGACGAACGTTGTTTAATTCTTCATTACAATGACGAAGAGAATTTTGAAGATTCTAAAAGATTATTCAAAAAAAAAAATCTTCTTTTTCTCCTATTATTATGTGTTAATAGAATGTTAGATTTTATGTTTGTTGCGAATAGTAACACGATATTTTTCTATTCTTTTTTTTTTCTTTGTGTATGTCAGTCTCGGTGAGCAGTCGAGAAACATCTTCACTTCTTCTTCTTTTTTTTTTTTTTTCTTTCCTCTATAATTTCTTTAGTTAGTAAATGTGAAAAATCGCGTAGTGTTTTTCTTGCACTCGTTAACAATAAAAAAAAACCGATGATGAAGTGTCAGGAAAAAAAAAGACGAGACATTGCATATGTAGTTTTAATGAATATACGTGTGCATGTCTTTCTTACTTCATATATATTACTATATGGATTTTGGTCCTAAATAAGATTCATATGTAATATTTCTCTATTGATCTTAGTTAAATGAGATTTTTTTGCGGTTTTTTTTTCTATTGTTATACCTGAACTATTTTTTCACGTTGTTTTAATTTATCTTTAAGATCATCAATAATACTTTGACAATGATCACGTTGTTCAAATGAAGTTCCACTATTTATTTTCTAGTAAAATTTAACATAGAGAAGTAAAATAAATTGTGGAAAATATTTTACCTTTAGCATTTCTAATTGGTTTTCTAAATATCTTACTCTCTCCAATTGAATCTAGAAAGCAAAAATAATCATATTCTTCTCAGGTTTTTGTTTTTTTTTTGTTATTGATCATACTTCTTTTTCTTCAGCAGCAATATTGAAATTAATATCTAAAGAATTGTGATTTCGTATATGCCCACCAAGTTGATATTGTAGTGTCTTAAAGAAAAATGAATTAAATAATGAGAAAGAAAAAATTTCAAATTCTTATACATCAATTTTTCGTTCAGCTAGTTGTAATTGATCATTCGTTTGAATCAGTTTACGTTCATAATCTTGAATATTTAATCGTAATTCACTAATATATCGTTCAGATTCATGAATAGTTAAAGATTTTTCATTTATTAATTCATCAATTCGTCGGTCACGACTTAAAAGTTCTTGTTGTAATGTTTCAATTGTATTACTATTTGAATAATCACCCTAATAGAAAGAAATAAAAATTTTTCGAATAAAAATAAAATTTTTCAAATAACTTTTTTAATATCGTCAAGAAGTTTTTCAATATGTTGAGCTTTTGTTTTCAGGGATTCACTATACGTTCGAATAAGTTGTTGTTTAGTTTGAAGATCTTGTTCTAATTGTTGAATTCGAATCTAAGAAGAATTTTTTTTTTAATCATATAGATATGTTTTTTTTTCTTTATAGATCAAATACTTCAAATGGGATTCGAATATCTTTTCGTTCACTTTCAACAACAGAAAGATCGTCTCGAAGTTTCTATTAGAAAATTAAATATATTAGTTAATAATTAAAACTATGTATAAAATTTACTTGAATTAAAATGTTTTTTTCATGAAGTTCTTTTTCGCGTCGATTGATCTTAATACAATTATTTAAAAAAATGATTTGAAAATTTAAATAAAAATTTCTTCATAGAAGATTTTTATTGAATGATAAAAAATTTTTTTTTTGCTTTTTGCAATTTATCCAATTTATTTGAAAAATCTTTTTTTTTTTTCTAAATAATCTTGTATACATTCATTGTTGATTGAATATTATTTTCAGATAGGCTTTTTTTTATTAATTTTGGTCGCTAAATTGGATAGAACTTATTCAATAAACATTTATTTTACTTCGTCACTATAAAGAGTAGATTCATAATGTACGATCTAGTGACATGAAATGTCCAAAGATTACTTGATATCTTTAGATTTATTAATCGAAATATAAAAGAATAATCATAAACGATAGACTTGTGCAGTAAGACTTCTTAGTAAAATGTCGCATGAAAATAAATATTTACAAAATAATACTCCAAACAGAACTCTTATAATTTAATCAATAGTAGATTTTACAAAAAGCAATTAAAAAGAAATGTTTCCATAAATAGAACTAGAGACATCCAAGGTTATGCTATCCTGCAGGCTAGAGTAAGATTTCTTACAAGAGAAGTCTTGCAACTGATAAATCACTATTGAGGTCAGACTATGTGTATTACTTAGATCCAAATGAGTTATGAATACCTTGAAAAGAGTTTGTGCTCTCTGCTTATTGCTGCAGTATTTCTGCAGCAATAAGCTAAGAACGCGAACTCTTTTTCATTGTACTCATAGTCCATTTCGGTCTACATAATGCACATCGTCTCGACTTGAAAGTGATTCATCAGTTGGAGGACTTCCCTCTTCAGTCCGAGCACACCGTACGAAAAAATTTACCTATGTATATCTAAATATAACTTTCTCAATGTAAATCAATCATTGAAGTAGTTGCTATAAATTACTAGTTAAGACTACGTTTTAACTTTATTTGTAGAAAGAAAACTCTAGTCGAAAAAAAAAAGAAAAAGAAAGAATTATATGATTTTTTAAATATCTATTTTAAAATTCTAAAAGAACACCTGCTTTAGGGGGGGAAAAGAAATTCCATTTATAAAAATTACCTTTACTGATGTTTTCTTTCGTTTGAATATATTTGATAAATGAAAAATTTGAGTCATGATATAATGGTAGAAGAAGTAATAGCATTTACATCAATTTTCTTTCTTTCTTTGTACTATTCAAAGAAATCACTCAATCAATATGTATCGAAAAATAGAGAAAGAAAAGATTCAAGAGCATTTCTTGATTCTTAAGTTCATATTGAACAACTTTGATTGACATTTTTTGTTTTATTTCTATGTACCACTTTGATTTCCTCTCTTTCCTAACAATTCCTAATTGTTTGTATTGTATTTTAAGTTATTCATAACGAATGAGTTTATACTAACAAGAAAAGTATAATATACAAATCAACCATTTTTCATTTCTTATTTTTCGAATATTTTATTTTTTATTTTTTTACATATCTAATTCTAGATTGATTATTATGATCTAAACTTACATTATCTGGAAGAATTGTAAGCTGTTGTTTGTACTGAAGAAGAAGAAAAAAAAATTTTAATGAAAAGAAAGAATTATTCTGATAAATGTACCTGAGTAATTTGTGTTTCATATGCTTGATTTTGATTTTCTAATCTCTGTTAAAATTAAATGAATAGTTAAAATTATTATATATATTTTTTTTTAATATACTTTTATGTGATCATTTCGAATGTTTAATTCATTTGTATATTGACGAGATAAATCATCTTTAATTTGTTGTCTTACTTCTTCTGTTCTATTGCGTTCTATTCTAACATGTTCAATTTCACTTTCATAAGTCTGAAGAAAAAATAAATAAATGAATATAATCGATAACAACAACACAAAAGAAATCAATAGACGAACTTGAATCCTAGTATTTGCTTTTCGTAATTCATTTTCTAATATTTGTAATTGACTATCAAGCTATATTTATATAGATACATCAATGCATTTAGATTCGATCCAAAACAAAACAAAAACAAAAAAACTTACACGTGTTATTGCATTATTTCTTTCTTCAAGAGTAGATTGAATAGTTTGATATTCTTTTTCAAGATTCTATAATGTAATAAAAATTAATTGATATTTAAATAAAAATAATACTTACTTCGATTTCTACTTCTTTAGTTTCAGATAATTGACTGTAACGTCTACGATACTTAAAAAGAAATATTTATTATTTATTTTTGTTCGAAATAAAAATATTACAAAAACTTATATTCTTACATCATTTTCATATTCTTGATTAATTTCAAGACGAATCCTAATCTCAAGATTATCTAATTGATATTTAAGTTCCTAAGAGAAAAAAAAATAATGTTTCGTATAATTAACTAATTTATTATTATATTTCTTTTAACTTACAGTATTCTCTTTTTTGAAAGCTTCAAAATCTG